GCACCCATGTGGATAAAGGGATTGGTTTGTTGTTGTTTTGTCATCTTATGCCCACCACTGACTTTTGCTCTGGATATTGCATCTAGATTAACCTGTCTCAGGGGTTTAGAAAAAGAAAAGCTGCACAACTCTGGAGCAAATGCTGTTTTACAGTATTTCCACCACCCAAAGCCAGCATTGGTGGTAGGCAGCTTCCTCAAAAGAAGAGAGGTTTCATGGCCTCCTCTGCTTGTTCTGTAGGCACTTAAGCACTGCTCTCTCATAGTAAAAAAAATCTGTTCTGAGCCCCATCTGCTTCTCACAGAGGAAGGGGAGGCTGGACAACAAAAACTGGTGTAAAGCGTGAGCAGGCTCAATCTGCTTTACAACCATCTTGGATGAAGGTCTCTTGCTATGCCCTCTTTGCTCACTAAGGCAGTCAATGCGCGACAAGTTTTAAAATAAAAAAAGGTAAATTCTGCATCCTATATAAATCATGCAAATTTGCTTTATTTGCACAATTTGTTTACTTTGCATAATTTATTCTGCTGCTGATCCTATAGAGTGGCATAAGCACAGAAACCCCGAACACTGGAAATGGTACCTTTCCCCTCCACTTCTGGTAATGCTTTCTTCTTATTCCTGACTTTTACCGATCATAACTTTTAACATAATGTTTCGTATTTTATGTAAACAGCTTAGAGGGTGTTTTTTTTAACAATTTAAATGGAATTGAAATAAATAAATAAAAATGCAAGGTGCCCTTGTAGGAATATGGTGAGAAGTGTGTGTTGTCTCACTATTGGCCGTGGATGATCTTCGGAGCAAATGTTGCTTGGAGCACTTGGAGTCACCCTTAACTGCCTCTACAGCTTACATAGTAAGCCTGGTTTGCCAACTATTAGCTCTGCTGGGACCGGCCTCCCATAACACTTACAGACGGGAAAAACCGAGGCCAGGAAAGAATAAGGTTGGGAAGCACAATAAAGCCCAAAATGAAACTCAAGCCTCATGGTAAGCTGGACCATTCACCTTCCATCCTAAACTGATAGAAAGAGGGCTGTGTATGACAAGCTACATAGGCTATATATTACATACATCAACCGAATTTGCAAGATCTCCCTGATGGTCCCTGTATTCTGCTTCCCTGCCCTTTCATGGCAAGGAAAGGGGTTATTGAAGCCCTGTGGCGGCGGCAGCAACAACAACAACTAAACCTCACCAGGGAACCAGTAGCCTCTCCAGCTTCTGAGGTTTGTTCAGGCTTATCCTTGCAATCATAATGGCTAGAAACTTGCTTTTCTTTCCAAGTGAAAGAAGAGGTTCTTACAAAACCACCTTCTGCAGCAAGTATTGTATTCTGTGGCCTTAAGAACAAAAAAACAAAACACATTTTCCACTGAATGGCAGTACACACAAAGCCCTGGTTGTACTCACCAGGGTATGGCGAGGGCAATTTGAAAAGACACACCAGCGCAGATGGATGGTTAGTAGACTTAACTCACATGCCCATGGTGCCAGGGAGAATCCTGCATTTGGCAACAACCTACTTGCTTTCCATGCATGTGGTATGAATGGATGGGGCTTCAAAAGCCACAAGGGATGGAAGGATAGCTGTTTAAATAAAAACAAATGTTGATTATTCCTGATGCTGTAAGAGGCAACATGATAAATAATGTACTCCTAAGCAGCAATCCTTTACACACTTACCTGGGAGTAAGTCCTACTGAACTCAGTGGGACTTACCCTGAGTAGACATGCATAGATAGGACCGCACAGCTAAGGGTGCTTTCAGACTGTGGGCTATTAGTGTTACCCAGTCATTACCCTTTTGCTACATGCACAACTGCAACAGGCTTTCCCCCAATTCAGCTGGTGCTGTGTTCTATGTGTGCATGTACATCCTGCCATGTTCTGTTCACAACAATGAGCTTAACATAGCCATGTGGGTGGGCGGCTAACAGTGAAGCTAATGAACCCCTTCAACGGTATTTAATTTTATCACCAACATTTAAATTTGGGCTAAAATGCTCTTTTCACTGAAGCGCTGTTGCTCATATATTTTATTTTAATGTGAAAAGGCATTCAAACGCTTTGTTGTTGTTGTTTTTAAATGTACGCTGCTCAAATGGCACCGGATGAAAAGGTAATAATGAAAGAGTGCCCCAGTTGAAGAGGTACAGCAACAGGGTTCAGTTGCTGGAATGTGTCAAAAGCAGGTCTCTGAGGAGGAGGGAGCAAGGAACATAAGGGCAGCACCAAGGTGGCTTAACCCTGTGCTGCTGTTCCATTTCTTCTTACATCAGATTCTCCCAGAACAAAATCATAGAAGCATAGTGAAAAGCAGAAGAGGGGAGGGGAATGATTTGATTACAATGTCATGTGACTGCCCTGTAAAAAGTGAGTGGACGAAGAATGGCCATCCCAGAATAAACGCAATAGTGCGGAAGCATCACTAATCCAAATGCAGAAACCAAAGTGTGCTGGCTTTATAGCAAACCCGACTTTATAATGGTGCAAATAGCACAGTGGGCTACAGCACCGCCTGGCTCCTAGCCACCAATACATGTTGGCACAGGTGCTAGAAATGTATGCTTCGCAACCCAAAGCAGCTGGCACTGTAAGAAAGTAGGTTTTCTCCACTTTGCCCACTTGCAGTTGGCTCCAGCTCTGGAGAATTCCTGAGCCAGAAAGAAATTAAGATGAAGGGGTAACCAATGACAGTTCTTCTGTTCTTCCCACACATCTTGCAAGGTGGCAGTTAGTTGCTTCCAGCTCTGCTGGCAAAACTGTAGCAGGAGTGCTTGCAGGTGGTGGTAAGATACTGGAGCAATTTGTGCGTGGTCCACCTCAAATTATACCCAAAATGAATTGACTGGAACCACAAAGGCCAAAACCCTTGGGCCATCAGGAGTTGTGGGCACATTACTAGCGTTCATGGCATTCACTGCTTCTCTCTTCTTTTTTTTGTCCAAGTAACTATTGGGTAGAGAGTGGAATCCTGGCCATAGTGTGTGGCAAGAAGTACACTCTGCCCCCTTTCGCCCAAGTGGCTTCGTGTCTCTACAGCTTATACATGGTTCTCAGTTGTCTTCCTTCCATTCCCAAATGAAGAGCAACTGGGAAGGGCATGATCCCTCTGCACATCTGTGCACATGCAGAGAGGTTGCCACAGAGCCTAATAGAGCTCTCCTCCTGTTTCCCTCCAAGATGCACATGAACTGCAGAGGTCTGGCTGTTGCCCAGCACAAGAGGTAAAAGCCGCTTCTGTTTCTGCATCAAACCTTCCTTCTCTAACACAGGGTCCAACCTGGAATTCTGTTGCATTGTCAAGCAAATTCTAGTGCAAATGCCTGGACTGTGAAGTGCCCTGGATTCCTCCTGTTCTAGTTAATGGCTAGTGTGCTCTGATGCAGCAACGAGGGGGAAGAGAGAGAGTTCCACTGAGCCCCTATGGCAATCCCACCAGCTGCTCACAGCTGCACTCGTGCCAGGATGGACCATATCCAAAGTGGATGCTACTTACTGGGAACACTGTCGTTCTGATATGGAGACAGCTGGACATCTTGCATAAATATCTGCCCAAAGCCATGGGACAGAGCCATTTTACAGCTTTGGAAATCATTCATTCAGAAGGCTTTGCCCGGACTTGGATTCTTGAAGCTGCGATGTTCTGGTTGGAGAGGTTAACAGCTAACAAACCACTCTTTCTTTTTTGCAGTATGGGAGAGGGGCCCCTTTTCCCCAGCCTTGAGGTTCCCATTTTGGGTTTCCCCTTTTAGCCACTGGAAGCAGTACCTCATTCTGCTCAATAAGAAGGGGTAGCTCTTGTCCGTAGGTGGCACTTGTGTGTGGCTGATGTAGCAAAGCAAAATGCAGAAAACAGAAGTTGCAGAAGTCCCTCTTGCACTCTGCCCTCTCTGGCTCCTGGGAATAGGCATGTGCTGGTGTGCATGGAGCACAACTCACTGGGGAAATGAGTTGCAGCACCCAAATGAAACTGGGCAGGAAAGAAAATGTCCTGTGGTCTTTGCAGTTCTTCCTGGGTCAGGAATATCCCTGCTCTGGTATATCCAGGCATCAATGCTAGAACTGCTTATTTGCTGGCTCCTCCTCCAGTTCATGATTTCCTTCGGAGTTCTCTTCCCAGTTGGCCACACTGGCCAGAAGTGTGGGTGGCATCACAGATTCAGCTGTTCGAGCAAGATCAAACAACAAATACCTGGCGGTGAATGCCATGAAGTCTGGCAGCCCCGACCAGGAGAACAAGCTTGAGCAACAGTTTTCTGGTTGCCACATGGAGAGGGAACTGAGTCAACAGCAATACTATCTCTGTCACCTACCCAGGCATAATGCAAACTTTAGTGAAGAAAAGCGGGACAAGAGCACTGCTACTTCCGAAGTCCAGGGCTATCCAGTTGTGTTTAGGGACTATACAGCAAGGAGATAACTGCAGGCATCGTGTATATGCTGGTCTGCAGTAGGAGAGGGACTACATATGTGTATTTGACCTCAGCATACAAGGAGGCTGTGAACAGAGCATGGCTAACTTTCCATGCCTGGCAGCTCTTTCAGCAAGGACATCAGATCTCACAAAGACCAAGGAAGCAACAGTTCCCAGCAAGGAATGCCATGCACATGACAATATTCTGGCTTCCAGGGGAGGGAGGGCAGGGAGAGACAAAACTATTGCTTCAAACACACTTCTTGGTGTCCTGGTTGGTGCCCAGGATGTGAAGAATCAAGAAACCACCAGCAGGACTCTTAAGCAATACTCACTTAAAATGTTAAGTTCCACCGAAGTTTATAACTGTGCTTAGGAATGCCGCTTCACTGATTCCCAGCTGGCTAAAATTGGTGTGTGGGGAGCAGGTTGGAAGAAGATGAGAAGAAGGGAGATCTTAAAGCCACCCCCACCTCTATTCATCCGGTAAGATGAATGGTGGGGGCATTGTGCGTGTATATAAATTAATACTTAAGCATGGGGGTGGGGAATGAACAAGAGGTGAGATATTAGATTGGCTTGGGTAGCTCAGCTGGTTACAGCATGGTGCTGATAATGCCAAGGTTGCAGGTTCGATCCCCGTATGGGGCAGCTGCATATTCCTGCATTGCGAGGGCTTGGACTAGATGATCCTGAAGGCCCCTTCCAACTTTACAATTCTAGGATATATAATAGAAGAGGTACATAAAAATATGCATGGTGTGAAGAAAGCAGATAGGGTATTACCCTCTGATAACACTAGAGTTCGAAAATGAAGCTGAATTTTGCAAGATTTGGAACAGACAAAAAGAAGTACTACGTCGCACAGCAGCGTTAAAGACTATGGCACTTGCTCATAAGAGGCAGTGATGGCCAGAAATCTGGATGACTTTAAAAGAAGATGAGATAAATTCATGGAGGTCGGGGTTATCGGTGGCTACTAGCCACCATGGCTATGCCCTGACTCCACCATCCGACGCAGTGGGGAATCAGAAGTGCGGAGAGTACTGCTGTACTCATGCCCTGCCCTGTGGGCTTCCCACCGGCATCTAGTTGGCCACTGTGAGAACAGGATGTTGGACTAGATGGGCCACTACCTGAACCCGCAAGTGCTCTCCTTCTGCTCTTAGAAGTGCATTATGCCCCTTGCGGAGCTAAAAAGAAGAGTCATCAGCCCTGATGTCAAGAGAAACAGCCAGAGACATGAAAGAGAAAAAAGCCCTCTTAAGAGAAAAGCATGTTTTGCTGCTGTCTTGGGCTCCTGTGGCCATGGTTGTCCTTTAGCCCCTATTTGGAAATGGTCCACAAATACAGTTGTTAGCAGCTGCTACCTGCACCCTTGATTTCCAGTATTTGTGTTTGGTCTATAGCCCCAAAAGGCCACAACCCCCGAGTGTAGACCCCCTCATTACTTCTCCTCCCCTCCCAATCCAAATTGCACAATTATCCTAAGGTTTAAACTGATAAAAGATTTAAATCAAAAACAAAAGAACGCAACCACGATGCTCTCCCCCCCCCCCCGGTTCCCTCCTTCCAATCCTTTCCCCCACCCCATCCCCAAGAAACCTTGATAAAAGTTAACTCTTTACATCTCTTTGGCAACAATAACTGAAATCTGCCGCTCTGTTAGGGCAGGTGATATAGCGCAGGGTAATTTTTTTTTTTTACAAAAATAGTCCCGGTAGCCGTTTGACCTGCTTTTGCTACACATCTCGTCAGGAGTCTCCTCTTGTATGTTAAGTTCATCTAGGAGTTGCGAAGGGAAGTTGGAGTCTCTCCCCACATGACCAAGATTGGCATTTTGACACAAACCCAGCCTACCCACTTGCTGACGGGACACAGCTTGGCACCCCAGAAAGCCTCCACCTAAACAATACTGTGGCAGGGAAAATAGGAAGGATCTACAGCTGGTGTGTTGGGGGGCAGGGAAGAGAGGTGGGCATCTGCACCACAAAATTCCCCCCTGCTTATAGGGTTTTGTTTTGTTTTTTAAGTTAACCTTGCATTTCCTGCACATCCCCTTTCTTTCCTGCTTACGCAGCCACTTCCGAACAGGCAGGGAGACTTCCTAACAGGCAGGGAGGCTGCTTTCCCCAAGGCGAGGATGGAGAAAGGATGCACCAAAGGCCATTAAGGCACAGCTCCTATACCACTAAGTGCTCCAGTGGTGGTGCAGCTGAACAGGGGGCCAGCAGTAGTTGCAGAATCTATACGTGGGAAAAGGAGGGGGCAGCAGAAACACAGTGTGGAAGGGGAAGACGGCTACTGAGCCCGTCCCACAAATGAAATTGCCACCTGAACCTCGTCTAGCTCCCCTATGTGCCACTTGAGTTTGCCTACCATCCATTCTCTCACCTCTCCCCTTATTTGATGCGCAGCCGAACAGCAGGCTACACCCGACACAGCCAGGTGTAGAGGGAGGGGGGCAAGAAGGGACTTGCAGTCACAAGGAAGGGAGAGAAGGAAGGAAGGAGTACTCAGCTTTCAAGGGCCAAATTTAAGCATGTCTGAATGACACGGTGCAAGGCTATGTGCTCTCTTGCTTCCGCTCTCTATTCCGTGCTGGGCTTGGAAAACACACATGAGAAGCTTACAAGAACAGGCAGGAGGAAGAAAAGGTGGTGGTGATCTCAAGGCAGTGCCCCAATTTGGGAAGCCAATGTAGGTCGAAACATCCAAGAGGCATGAGCTGGAGAGGGAGGAGGGGGGTATCAAAATGGCTTGGGTGGAGGGGGCAGCGATGTTAGCAAGGTCACAGCTCTACCCTTTAAATGCTATAGGTTCTATATGTCTATATGTCTATCTGTACATATACACACCCTCACACACACACACACACACACACACACACACACCCTCACATCCACACGCTTGTCACAAAATCGCCACGCCGTGGGGCATCTCCAGCCTAGCAGCAGTCAAGAACTGTCCAATAAAATCCGCCTCTTAAAAAAGAAAAAAATATATATAGTAAGAGTGAGCCCCCATCACCACCACCGTGGAGTTCTCTGCTCCACCCAAGTTCTGGGCCTCCATCCTTATTCCTTAGCCCCGATGCAGAAACCGATGCTGAAGGGGGCAAGTCCAAAATCAAGCCCATGGCTAAGCTCATTCTCTGTCGCCTCTGTTTTCACTGCTTCCTAAAAAAAAAAAGGGAAAAGGTGGAGTTAGTAATGCAGCGTCACAACCTTAAAGGAGGCCTTGTATGTCCCCTCTCCTCTGCATAGCTTTCCAAGTTGCAGAATCCATTCTTACCGCATGAAATGCAAGGCTGTGAAGGCTGTTGAGAACCAAAGGAGAGACAAATTCCCAGCCCAGCCCTCATGACTTAAGCCAATTTTACAGTTCACGCCGCCAGCCACTCACCCCACTCTACAATTATTTTTGTGTGTTTTTTAAAGGACGAATACAATTAAGGTTCCCCAACATAGAACAGAGTGCAAGCAGACTTGCATCTTATGTTGCTTTGGACGCAGAAGCCCCATTCAAAAAATTCCGCCTCAGGCACTCAGCGAAGGTAGATGAATGGGGTTTTGCCCTCAGTCAAACCACATCTACCTACCTTGCTATTTACCACCAGTCCAGGCTACTGTCATTGGCTCTGGCTCCCCCTACTGTTGGCCTCCCTGCCGTCCTTCCTACCACTCCCAATGGGCGCCAGTCACCATTGCATAACCCAACCCAGATTATGCTGTGCAACCTGACCCTTGCTGGCCAGAGCTTGTAATCCAGAGAGGAGTCCATAATTTGCCTGTAGTTCCTTCACTTGCCTATCACTGATGGTGCACCTGAACATGATCCCAGTGGGTTTAACAGAACGGGCTGTGCCCAAATGAACATGGGCAAACATCCTTAGATGCTTCCAGAGGAGTTGTTCATTCTGGAGTGTCTTAGGTCTTCCCCCATTCAGTTATATTTTGAGAACAGGAACACACAATGTCCATCCCAACAACCATGGATCAATTCAGTGAAGTTGTAGGGGAATATTCTCCTGGCCCTACTTCCTACAAAGCGAGCAATCACACTCTTTCTCGGTAGACAAAGGCACCTTGGAAGTGGGAGCAAGGGCCTCTAAGGTCCATGTGAACAAAAGGTTCTTAGAAAGGATCTCTCTTAAAAACAGATGTATAGCCCTATTCAATTGCTGTGAACATTACAAAATGTGGGGTGTTTTATTTAGTGCACTTGGTATACTGAAATTATTTCACACAAACATGGCCTTGGTTGAATTAATTCTTATGAACTGGTGGTCCAATTAAGTGCCATCAGTAAAATCACTCAACAGCATTTCCATGGAAATCAGGACTGCTCCCCATTTCCTATCAATGTTTAACTATTCCTCCATTTCCTGGTGTTGATCATGTGACATCTAGGCCAGGCCATGTTGCTTGACAGACATTTCCTCCAGACCCAGGGAAAGAAAGAGCTACAGTCTTGAGACTTCTGGGCTCACCCCTTCTCAATGGGGCCCCCTTCTTCTGCTACCTGAATGCCCCTTACCTCCTACAGACCCGGCGTCCGAGTCAGTGACGTGTGTGATGGAGAACCTTGACACGGGGGCAGGTGAGACTGTGAAGCGTGAAAACTGGATGGGCAGCACCTGCTTCTGAGCTGGCACTAGTGTGGGTGGCAGTCCGGGGAGGGCAGGCTCAGGTGCCGCCGACGTCAACGATGGCATGACGGATGCTTTCACTGCCATGAGGGGAAAGTCATCTTCCCACTCAAAACCACCACCTGAAGAGGGAAGACACACAGTGGAAGGGTAAGGAGCTGGGCCCAAAATCCCACCCCATCCCCGCTTGGCCAATTGTCCTCTGCTGCTTCCTGTTAGCCTCCTGTCCAATTGCTGCATCGCCAAGTTCCTACTAGTCCAAAAGGTCTTGCTGTGCAGGACCAATTTCTATCCCCCTCTAGTGGCCAAATGCAGGTTGCTTTACATAAGCTGCTGCTTGGAGCAGCCTTTATCAACTTGTGGGTCCCCAGATGTTGTTGAACTACAACTCCCATCACCCCTAGCTAGCAAGGCCAGAGCTCAGGGATGATGGGAGTTGTAGTCCAACATCTGGGGACCCGCAGGTTGAGAACCGCTGGCTTGGAGCAATGCACAGAGGCTGGAATCTGCAGACCATAATCTGTCCAATCAAGTGACACATGGCCTTCCAGCTGTCATCGACTACAGCTCCCATCATCCCCAGGTCTGACCCAACCCAATGGCTATAAAGGCTGCTGGGAGTTGACAACATCTGGAAGGTGCCCCAACTCCGTTGCATAGTGAAGCGGTGCAAAAATATTGCACCCAAGAGCAAATCTAGATGGGTTGAGCTCAGAAAAGCAGCCTGTGCAGGTGTCGTGATGGAAAAACATCAGGGCCGTCCCAGAGCCTGCTCAGTTCCCTTCTGGTTTCCTACCCTTACTCTCTTCAGAGGTGCTCCCTTCCGAGGAACTGCTGGGGGCATCTGTTCTCTCTGCTGGGCTTGGGGAACCGTTGCTGTCCTTATGCACAGGTGGCGCCACAGGAGGTTCTGTCACTCCCGGGAAAGGATGCTCTGCCAGTTCCTTCGTGGGGCTTTCCTGCACGCAGAAGATACAAATGGACATAATTACCTCATTGTCTCCTGGGAGCAACTTCTGGGATCCAGTTTGCCCTCTAGGGAATAAACACCCTCCTAGCCTTATTTGCTCCAAGGGTAGCTGCCATAATTAACGCCCCCCGCCCCCCGTTCTCAAACCCAGGCCTTGCAAAAAGTTTGGGTCACTCCCATATTAATGTAACTCTTTTTTTAAAAAAACAACATTTTTTTTAAAAAAAACACAACAATTGAGAATCATGTTCAAATTAAGATCTGAGGCTTAGGATGAAGGTTTCTTTGTCCAGACTTGCAAGACTACGATCAAAATTAGGGGATGTTGGTAACCAGCACCTTTCGAAACAAATGATGAAAAATATACTTAGTTAAGAGGTCAGCAGATGCTTATAGCTGTGGGGTGTTTCTGTTGCTTGCAGAATGGAAATTGCAGAATGCACAAAAAGTGTGCGTTTCCTACAAAAGAGGCACACAACTTTTGATTTGTGAGTATGCTAAAGCATACTTGAGGGCCTCTTCCGGTTGTCAACTCCAGGCCACCAGAAAACAACTCACCTGGTCAAAGAGGTAGACGGTGACATCTTCGATGAAGGAGACGGCTTTCTTCTTGCGTTCGAGGTCATCGCAGAAGGTCTCCACCAGCAGGCTGGGCATCTTGAGCAGGCTGCGCAGGTTGCGGGCACTGTGGCTCTCGGCCACCACAATGGGCACAGCGGGCAGCTCCTCCTCGCTCTCCTCGCTCTGGTCCTGGATGTTGTAGCACCGTAGCTCCTCGTCCGACTCATCGCTGTCCTCCGTGTCCTCCTCCTCTTCCTCGAGCTCGGCAGGGACAGACGGATGCCGAGATGGCACCGACGAAAGGTCCAGAGAGAGCCCAGGGCTGCTCTGGGGCTGCTCGCCAGGGCAGCATCGTTCCTGCCCTTCCCCGGGTTCCTCTGCTGCCCTTGCCACTGCATTGCTCCCCGTCCCCACATCTCCCTCACAAGCCCCATTCGGCACATCCGGACTCGCAACCACAGGAGACAAGAAAAAGGACCTGGTGGCGGGGGGTGGCACCTGGGGCAGGGCAACAGCCTCGTCGCTCTTGCCTCTGGATGAGTCCAGCTCAGCAACAATGGCTCCATTCACTACCAGCTCTTGTGACAGGCTTGTCCCCGTGCCCTGGTCGCTAGTCGCTGGAGGAAAGGTACACCCCATGCCGTCTTCCTGTGGGCAAGTGGGCTCAAGCAAGGTAGGCCGAGACTTGCCTGAGCTATTTTGGGCGGGGTCCTTCCCCAACTCTCCAACGTCCGCCTGGGGGAGCTCTGGCTCGTGCCCCTCAGAACCATCACTGTCCCCTTCCCCGTCCTCCCGAGTCCCCCCTTCGGTATCGTAGTCGGAGAAGTAGGCCGAGTCACGGTAAGGGTTCTTCTCGTCTAAGGCCTGCAGCTCAGCGCTGAAGGAGTTGGAGAGGCTCAGCTCTTTGGCTGGGCCCTCGGGGCCATCCGGTGCCTTTTCTAGCTGGGTGAAGGCCTCGGGCTCCCGTGGCTCATGAGGCTCCTTCAGGACAAATTCAGGCGACTCGTAGTTCTCTGTGTCGTAGCCGCTGTCTAAGGCTTTAGGCTGGCTCGAGGGCACGTAGGCCGTGGGGCTGAACGCCTCGCAGGAGCTGGTGGTGGAGGGGATGTCCAGCGACTCCAGCGAGTCAGGGGTCTCCACCTGCTTCTGCAAGGACTTGAGGGTGACGATGACGTCCTGCCGCTCGGTACAATCAACTGGGAAGTCAGTGAAGACCCCAGATGTGAGCTCAGCCGTGTCCTCGTCACTGGCCTCATCCAAGTCAGGGAAGCTGGCGCTGGAAACCGTCTTGTCTGGTGTCCTGTCCTGCTCACTGGTCGTGGTGTTCTTGCCACTGTCCACATTGATCTCTCGCAGCACCTTGGGTGAGCATTCGGCCGAGGCCTCTTCCACCACGACGGGGTCTTCCCCAGTTCCTGGTGCCTCCTCCTCTGGCATCCGTGCGTCCGTGTTGTTGACAGGTTCCAGCACTGACGCCACTGAATCCATGTCCCCTGGTGGTGGTGGAGTGGTGGCAGCCAGGAGGCACTCCACCCCGCTCTCGGTCAAGGGATTCGTGGCATCGCCTGCGCCGATCTCTACGCTGGCAATCTTGGCTGACGCTCGTTCCTCTGAAGGCAAGTCGGTGTCCAGGCAGGGGGAGCCCGTGTGAGATGATGCCACCCGCTCCTCACCCAGAAGGGCCGCTCGCAAGTCCTCGATGCCTAGCGTGGGGCCGTCACGGGGTACAGTACACAGCGGCTCTGCCATGAGCCCCTGGAAAGTGATCATGTGGCGGTAGCACCAGCTGTCTTTGGCAGGTGGCTCACACGGCGGCAGCAGGTGGCAGCTGTTGTTATTGGCGGAGGTGTTGGACGTCCAGTGCTTGCTGGAGGAAGGGGACCCGCTGTTCTCATCCCCTTCGCTCCCAGGACTGCCACACGAGTTCTCCTCCTCCTCCTCCTCCTCCTCTTCCTCCTCCTCTCCCAGTTCCAGAGTGACTGAGTCTGCCACTGCGGCCTCCTCCTTGTAGACGTAGCCCACCGAGGGCGAAACACCAAGCGGGTCAGCAAATATGCTTTTCTGAGGAGCTGCCACAGGCCACTCGGAAGCCCCGTGCTCCTCAAGCAGGTAGTCCTCAGGGCCATCTTTCAGGGAGGCCTCGTAGTACGGCGAGGCCTCCTTGTCCCCTTGCCCTCCATAGGAGTAGTAGTCAGGGGGCTCCCAGTGGCCGCTGTCCCCATGTGCACCAGAATGCCCCAGCAGGGGCTCCATGGTGAGTGAGACGGTGGGGCTGCTGTTCGACTCGTAGCAGCCCTCCTTGGCTTGCCAGTGGGAGGGGCGGCCAAACTCCGGGCTGTAGGAGCACATGGTGTAGTCGAGGTCCGTCCCGCTGCCCTCAGAGGCCGCCTCCTCGATGCGGATGTAGTACTCGCTGTTCAGGGAGGGGCTGTGGGCGCTCAGCACGGGCACCACACCTGGCGTGTGCAGGCCAGGGCAGCCCTGCACTTTGCACTCGTAGCAGGAGGGCGAGACCCCCAGGCTGAGGTGCCTGCCGTCCCCTCTTCCGCTGCTGCTGCCGCTGGCGGCATAGTAGAGCTCGTGGTAACGCGCAGCGTCGCGAGGGCTCATAGCTGAGGCCGGGAGGTGCTCAGTCTTCCCTTGGTCCCACTTGTACTCAAAGTTCAGGCCGTGGCTCGTCTCCATGACGGTCAGGACGTCGTCGCCATCATTGGAGAAATGCTCCAGGAGGGGGAAGGACGAGAGCTCAACGCCCACGTGGCTGGAGCCCGAGCCCGAGCCGCCTCCTCCACCGCCACCGCCGCCAGGCTTCATGGAGTTCCAGCGCCGCTCAAACTCCTCCTCAGCCTCCGACGCTCCCTTGGCGCACAGGTACGAGAGCAGGAGGTGCACCTCCTCAGCAGTGGGGCGCTGCTCTGGCTGCAGCCAGCAAAACTGCATCACCTCGTACCTGTGCATAGGGAAGAGCAGAGGAGAGGTGAGACTCGGTTGCTCCTTTGCTCTGGGGACAACGGTCAGCAATTACATCATTCGCAGAGCCAGCCTTCCTCCATCCACAATCTGCTCCTACTTGGCAACATGCTCCTTGCTACCCCAATTCCCTAGTGAAACTCTTTCTCTTCTGCACGCCCCTAAAGCCACCCTTTTAGACCAGGTGTGGCTAACCTTGCGCTAGGGCTGAGCAATGTCTGGCTTTCAGCGTTGTGATATATCCCCAGCTAAACACTGTGATGTACCGATATATCACAATGCCTGAAATAAGGACGTAATCAGTACTATTTTTCTAGAAATAGTCACCATGAATGCCTCCCTTGGGTGCCCACCTGAGAGGTGCTGGAACTATGTTAGAGAGTGCCCACTGGCTTGTGGGACTACCAGCAAAGCTTGTGCTCTACCCACTGAGTGGCAGCCTTTTTGCTCCTTACTTAAAGAATACATTTACCAAGCATGCAATTTGCCAGTCCTGGCGGCTTGGTGTGCTGTTCGCTAGCAAGAGGGCTAAGATGGGAGTCTGGCACCAAAGACGTTTATCAGCATCTGCCTACCCACACACCTGATCCCACCTGCCTACGGTCCAGCCTCCTCCACGCTTGTCATTTAGTGCCTGCTGGCCACCTCTGCCCCTCATGGGATGCTGTGCCCTCCCCCCGAGGGCCCCGCCTTCACTCACCAGCGGTCTGACAGTGAGAGTGGGAGCTGCGGCTTAGGAAGTTTAAGCTGCTGCTCCTTGATGGCGTAAGTGAGCACCTGCCGGTCCGAGTAGTGGCAGTAGGGCTGGCTGCCCAGCTCAAAGAGCTCCCAGATGGTCACGCCCAAGGACCTGCCAAGAGAGAGGGGGCTCAAAGCACACACGAGTGGCAGGTGGCACCACCATAGAGGGAGAGCGCCGGGTCACCCAGGACCTTTGAACCCAGGGCTGTTGCATTTATTTGTTTGGCAAATGCACAGCTCCCCCTTCAAAAGGGACGACTATCTTTAAGTGGGGGGGGGGGGAGAGACGCAGAATCAAATTACAATGAAAATGCAGGTAAAACTGTGGGAAGGGGAAAATAAGGTGAAAGGAACCCAAACAATTACACCAGCCAATAAAACCAAATACGTGCTCCTTGCAGCTACCAAGAGAAATTATTCCAGCTGCATTCTGGACCAGTTGCGCCTTCAGTAGTCGTCCCATGTAGAATGTACTACAGTAGCCCAGCAGGGAGATTTACCAAGGTGCACATCACACAGGAGGAGCAAACTCAGCAGGCATATCCCATGTTGCACTGTAATCGCAGTTTTCCTGGCCAAAGGTTTCCGTTCGGTTGTTTTCGAGCAAAATGTAACCGAAGCCAGAGAGTTGCCTGCTGGCTTGTGGGGCTACCAAAATAAAACTTGGATCGCAGCCACTGTAAAATATTACTTAGTGATGAGATGTTGTAAGAGATGTTTACCTGGCTCAGTAAAATCACTGCCCCCCTTCCCAAATCTGGCCTAAGGGTTCACGTTGCTGCTATCCCATCCTCCCAAGATCACACACCCCAGGAACGGCTCCTTCCCACCCGTACCACCCCTGATTTTCTCACCAGATATTGCTGGTCTTGGTCTGGTCAACAATAAGCAGGTTGCCATGCACCTCGTCGATGAGTTCAGGCGCCACCCAGCGCAGGGGTACCCACAGTTGGTCAGCCGTCACAAAGTAGTCATCCTGCCAGGCATGCAGGGGCAAAGCAAGACAACGTCAAACCGGCACCAACAGAAACAGCAATCGCGACCTGTCGTGGATGCTTCAGCTGAGATTCCTGCGTTGCAGGGTCTTGATGACCCTTGGAATCCTTTCCAACTCTATAATTCTATGATAAAGGTGACCTAGTCCCCTGCACCCAAGAACCGCTGGTGATGGAGAATAGGACTGTCTCCACTAAGACTGTCCCCTACCTCTCCCTATCCCTTTTGCTTGGCCTTAGACATGTTCACACTGTTGCTGGGAGAATCGCAATCCCCACTTTCCAGCCTGCCTCCAGGTGAAGCAGGCAACCACCTGTTTGCCAACCACTTGTTCCTCCTGCCTTTTCTCCCCTTAAAATGTTTGCACTCAAGAGAGCCAAGTTGCCCCTCATCCCCAAGAAGGCTGCTCCCGCCATCAGCCTTGCGGGGACCCTGAACACAAACCCCACCAATGACGCTGGCTTGTGCTCCCTGTCCGGCTCCCGCCCCCAAAGCAGACTTACTTTGTATTTGCAATGAGAGAGGCCGTAGTCGCCGATTTTGACTGTCAGGTCAGCCGTGAGTAAGCAGTTCCGCAGCGCCAGGTCACTAGACAAAAGAAACGCCCAGCGAAGATTACACAGCGGAAGGCGTGAAGCGACAGGCCGGCCAAGGGAGCTCATGCATTGTGACCCAGATCAGGCCAACAGGAGCTATGGGGCCGGGGAGTGGGAAAGGGCTGACCAGATGTGCCAGGGCAGAATCCCAAATATGCCCTCATCAGGTTTGCTTAGCTCACCAAGACCAATGGTGAATCTCTGGCTGGCCATTGGTTGACTAGCCACTGAAATGCACCAAGAGCCAACTCCATAGAGAAAGGTGCAATCTGAGCATCATCGACAGCAGTCTGAATTCACAGTCAACTGCCTGCCTCCCTCTTGATTCCCCAACAATGTCCCTACAGCAAAGCTGTATCTTTGAAGGATGTAGCGTTTCGATCTGCTCTTGCCTGTGCAGACTTGCAAAGCCTAGTTCCTAAAAACACCTTTGTACCTTTAGGGAGCGAGAGGGGTAGGTGGGAATGGGGGACGGACTCATCTAAGACCACAAAGTGAGATCATGGCAGAGGCAAAATTCAGCCTCGGGACATCCAGTTTGTAGCTCAGTGCACTTCCCCGAAAGGAGGAGGACTCCCATCCTCAGAAGATGGCAGAGCTCAGCCTCTTCAACAAAATCACTGATGCTGGAGTCTCTTGAGTGCCACTCACTCAGCACCAGGATATTGTTGGGGAGGAGGAGCAGGGTGACGGGAGGAGATCAGGATCTGCAGAAGGGTATCCACAGCGGGATGGTTTCTTCCTGGAGTGCAAGTTGCATGCTGGAGCCCCACGTTTCCGGGAAGGGCAAACAGGAAGAAGACAAGAACGCCGTTGCAGAACAAAGCTATCAAGCGACACATGCCATACCTTGCACACACTGGCCATAAGTCCACATAACTTCACTCCCCACATAGGACCTTAGGGCTCATTTTCTCCCTTAGGCCAAAACTTCCACCGCATGAACCAAAGGCTTCCCATTTCTCAGCCCATGAACCCTTCAGAAAATCCAAAAGCGGAAATGAAAGCCTCATCTCTGCTTCTGTGGATCATCACCACATCCACCTCCAGCCACCAGGAACCAAACACCCCACCTCATGCTGCATTCATAAACATGGCAACACCGTCATATGGAAAGAGATCATCAGTGGTGGAATTAGGTGCAGCAGATTCCAAGTTCAGTCCTCCTAAGTAGGGCTGGCAAATACTCCTGTCTAAAATGACAAAGAGCTGCTACCAGTCGGTGTAGACTAGTGTTCTCCAAACTTGGGTCTCCAGTCCAGCTGGTTTTTGGACTACAATTCCCACCATCCCTGACCAGCTAGGGGTGATGGGAGTTGTAGTCCAAAAAAACCACCTGGAGACCCAAGTTTGGGAAACACTGGTGTAGACAAAACTGAGCTATATGGACCAATGGTCTGGCATGGAATACAGCAACTTCCACAGGGTGGCTTTGACACCTGCTGCTCCGTGAACCACTGCGTGCACATCCCATTTTATTTCCTGCTGCACTTTGGGCTTAGCGCTTTACTGATACCACTGGTGCTCCCCTGTCAACCCCAATGAAGAACTGGGCCCCTTTCCCAGGATTCTTCCCCACCCCTACTCCACACACTCCCATGTGAAAGTGTGGCAAAGGAATGAGACAGGAACTCTGACTCACCTGTGCACGTAGTTGTTGCGGTGAAGATGCAGCAGGCCGCAGGACACCTCGCAGGCCATACGCTGCAAGGTGAGAGGGTCCGGTGCCAGTGCCTCGGCCGCATGGCAGCTCCGCAGGTAGCCCTTCAGGTCACCCTGTCAGGGTGGCAGCAGCAGCAACAACGTTACCCATGGGCACCACTGCCTACAGACCTTTCTTGTGCGGTCTCAATTGGGTGGGTTGGAGGAGAACAAGAGAGAGAAAGCATCTCTGCAATGCAGCCAAGGGGGTGGGAGCCAAGCCCCAAAGAAGGCCCGAGGTGAGGGAGAGCCATGTGCACCAAACCCAGGGATAGGGAAGTCTGTGGTCCTCCAGGTGTTGCTGGACTCCAATTTCCATCAGCTCAAGCCAGCATGACCAATGGACCAGGGGTGGATGGGAGTGAGAGTCCAGCAACATCTGAGTGCCAGGAGCAGGGAAGAGGTTTACCCAGCCCTACACTAAACCGCCAGTACCCCACAGAGGAAAAAATACACCACAGAATTCAAAGATGCAATGGTCTCTCAGTCAAACCCTGTATCTAAAGTAGGAGCATCCACCCACTATCAAACTAGGTAAAGGTAAAAGGACCCCTCACCATTAGGTCCAGTTGTGACCGACTCTGGGGTTGCGGCGCTCATCTCACTTTATTGGCCGAGGGAGCCGGCGTACAGCTTCCAGGTCATGTGGCCAGCATGACTAAGCCACTTCTGGTGAGCCAGAGCAGCGCACGGAAACGCTGTTTACCTTCCTGCCAGAGCAGTACCTATTTATCTACTTGCACTTTTGATGTGTTTTCAAACTGCTAGGTTGGCAGGAGCAGGGACCAAGCAACGGGAGCTCACCCTGTCGCGGGGATTCGAACCGCTGACCTTCTGATCGGCAAGTCCTAGGCTCTGTGGTTTAACCCACAGCGCCACCCGCGTCCCTTCCATCAAACTAGGTAAAACAAAGCATATTTGGGAGAGCGTACATACACCTGGCATACAAAACCTTGTGTCCTTCCGGATGTTATTGAACGGCAACTCTCATCATTCCTGACCATTAGGGATGATGGGAACTGGAGTCTAACATTACCCAGAGAGCCACAGATTCCCCCAAAGAACGCAACAGCAGAAAAAACCCCTCTGGAAGTGAGCAAATGGTTTCATGTGACCCAAGCGAGAGTCAGGAGAGAGATACGACATGAACCTAAACAAGGATTTGGCTCTCGGCCAGCCACAGTCTTGTTGCTTACCTGCCCCCCAAAGCTCAGGGGAGGCCCACAGCAGCAGGGGTTTTTGGGGGGTGGGGTGGGGGATGGAGAGGAAGCGTGCAACTCCCCTCTAGCAATGACTCACCAATGGGCAGAACTCCATCACCAGCAGGTAGGGCGTCACTTCTGCACACTGGGCCAGGCACTGCAGGAGATTGGTATGCTGGAGTGCCCTGTGAAACAGGGGGAGAGCAGGAGAGAAAGCAGGAGAGTGAAATGGGACTGAAAGGGGAGGGGGAGAAAGGAAAGGAAAGAGTCCAGGCAGGGAATTGCATCAGCAGCACTGCAGATCAAAGGAAAAGGAGACTCGGGGAGCAAGGCGATAGGAGGATCCTTAGGGAAGCCATTGGGGCCAGGGCAGCCAAGAAGGAGCAGGCTGGGCCTACAGGTGAAGCCCCAAGTAGGTTAGCTGAGAAAGAGAGATTTGCTCCAGGGTGTGCTCTCCTCTCCCCTCCTTTCCAAACAACTCACACAATAGGTTCATGCGGGGACAGGGAGGGGCTCCTATGGCACAGCCCTGTACTGTCCGCGAATAAATGGGTCCTAAGCTGTGCCAGCCACCACAGCACGGCCAAGGACAATAGGGGAGTTTGTTCATGAGTCGGTACGGTAATTCATCGCTTTCCCAGCACTGTCCCATCCCTCCCCTTCCCCCGGACAATGCCTCTCGAATCCAAAAGGCAGCCCCTTTGACTTCCTTCCAGCCCGGGGGTATACGCTGCAAATCGTTTTAACACAGAACAGCTTTCCCGGCAGGTGATACAGAGAATTGGGTTGCTTAGAAGGAGTACATTTTCCTCAGGTGCCTCAAGCGTGTTAATACCTTGGGGGCCAATGACACAAAACCAGGAAATATTAGTAATACTGGATTAATTGTGTGTGGAAAAAGGTGCAAGGATACTTTGAAGTTGTCAGGAAAGAGAAAAAACACGTTTTAGATGTAAGTCCTGCACGGTGCTAACAAAAATTCCCAAGCACACACCTTTAGGCAACTGGGCTATACAGTAAGCATTTGAGATCAGTCAAGCTCCGTCTAAATGTCTTGTATAATAAGTTGACGCCATCATTTTTACTAGGATTTTACATTTGTAATGCCTTAACTACTTCTGCCACCGGTTTCGACATTTTTTAGTTCCAAAATCTGCTGCTAGTTTTCATTGTTGGTTGATTCTACAGGGTGTATCTCACTGCTTGTAGTTTGTTTTGGTCATTGTGTTGTATACAAGGACAACACTGCAATGTGTCAGGGTCTAAATAGTACAGAGAGCCTAGTCAAGCAGAGCAAGCTCCCTGCTGCAGGCAACTGAGCCCCCACCACATTCCGGAATGGTGGCAGGGACCTGCAGGAAGGGGAACGGGTCAATGGGGGCTCATCTGTGTTCTCCCAATTGGGCATGGAAATTAAGGTAGAGTGTGTGGGGGGGGGAGGATGAATGAATAGCTCTTACGATCATCTCATATACTTTTATTCTTTAACATTGTCAAGTTTCTCTGGGCACCTCCATGGGAAAGTGGTACTTATTTAGAAGGCAAGCAAGTTTCCAGAAGCACATTTCCACTCCGGCTCAGGGGAAGACTTAAAACCCCAAGCCACATAACACAGGTCCTCTTATAATCTTTCTCTCCTGGCCAAGGTCATCAATAGGGCCGGCCCAAGACGTTCCACTGCCTCAGGTGGAACAGCAAGTGGAGCCACTTCCCCAGGACAAAGTGCATAGCGCCCAAGTTTGGCCAAGTTACTTTGACACCTGAGACAGAAAATCCCACAAGCACACACCTGGGAGTACAAATGCAGCAATTAAAAACAACAACAATGTTTCTTATTACAGAAAGGCCCTGGGGAGCTTACCTGTAAGGCTGGGCCTCTTCCAGGAACTGCATCTGATCTTGAACACTGGCACTGGCTTTGAGTTCCTTCACTACCACCTGAGTGCTGCTCAGCCCTGCATTCACCTCACCGAGGAACACCTGGGATGGGAGAGACAGAGGGCATTAGCCTGTTGGACTGGGACCTTGGGCTCCTGCTATAGGGCAGTGCCACTGCATGGGCCAGAAAGTGCCATTATCTCTCAGTATCTGTTAAGATAGCAAGGCTGTTGCAAAATGCCAGGTGAGCAGCCAAGCAGGTGACCACTGCAGCTGCAGCTCAAATCTAAGTTTCTGGTCCATTGTAATTCTCCAGTGAATATAAGAAATTTATTTCCCCTCCCTGCTCTCAATTCCCCTCCCCACTTTTCCATGTCATCCATCCTCTCGACTGAGCCAACGCATAAGCCGAGGGGTATGCAGACCCACGGTTTCTGATGCTGTTTCAGCAATCACAATGTGAGTTGTGTCCAACTGCTTGAGCAAATGGGACAACTCCCCAAGTGACAAAAGCAACTCGGGGAAAACTATGAACAGGCTCAGCATTCTCAGGCCTACATTCCCACCCCCCCACCCCCCCGCCAAGCCCCAGACCTGAGCTGAAGTTATTGCACACTACATTTCAACAGATTAAACAATTTGCCTTCTCCCTCTTTCAATGCATCTTACTTAAGTTTAAAATGTAACATGAAAAAGAGGCCTCTCCTTGCTCTACACTCCACCAGCATTTGCAAGGACCTGGGACACAACCCATGTCCAGTTAGGGGCACCCCATGGCCAGCTCTCACAATTGGCTTTGGGGTCACTGAGGCAGGCACTATTTTAAAAAAAAAACAGATGCCAAAAAGTAAGTAGGCAGGCAGGCAAGATAAATCAATATACAAAGGGCTGTTAATTGTCGTCTCTGACAGGGGTGTCAAACCTAATCTATTCCTTAAATAAATCAACAATATGGGATCAACAATATGGGATCAGTATAAATCAACAATATGGGATCAGTCTCAGGTGAGGAGCTTACCTTGCCAAACCATCCATGGCCAATTTCCTTGAGGTATAGCAGGCTATGGCGTCCCAGGTCAGTGGATTTGAGCAGCTGCACTGTGAAGGAGCATACAGAGCGGTTTGAAGTTCTGCATGCCCTGCCAACTTGTTCCCTGCCTGCTGCCTCATCCTAACTTTCCGCAGAAGAGCGGGGTCTGGGGCAGGAAGCTTCCCAAAGGATCAGGCACACGGGGATCAGCAGAGAGAAGCGGACACCTCAGCTGCTCCTGAGGCCAGGCTACGTGACTTTGCTGCATCTCTACCCCGTTGGTAGATCCAGGACTGAAGGTGAGCGAGACTCTCTCTCAAACGCATATACGCAGGAGGAGCCTTCTGCTATAGACAGGCGAACTTCCAAGCCTCCAGGCAGCAGAAAGTGGCTGTGTCGTGTCCACCCTTCTGGGCAGTCCCATGTCCCTCCTCCCCCCAAAAAAGCAGGCGGTGCCACCCCTTCGCCCCCTCAGTGCCAGACGCCACTGCTCCCCATCACACAGAGAAGCAAAGGCCCCATTGTTGCGCCCAGCGGCGATGGCTGTATCTGGACACTGGACCCATTCTCTGAGGGCCCATTTAGTGCACAGCAGGGCTGCACCAGGCAAGAATTGTGTGGGCAAAGCAGAGGGGAGTCGCTGTCCAGCTAGCTGGCTCAATCCCACACAGCAGAGCAAGCCTTGGATTCCTTCGCCAGGTCACATGGGAAGGAATGCGGGGCCTGTGGGACTTGGGGACCAAAAGGCCTTTGTCTCCAGAGGTAGCGGAGGAGAGGAAGTGATCTCAGGCCACAGGAGCAGGGAGTGACTTCTGCTGAGGGGGTCAAACACCTACACTGAGGCTTGGAGATGGCCTATCTCCCTGTTCCCTGCCTTGCCTGATCATGGAAGGAGCCTGATCATTTTCAGGTACCGCATCCCGTTTAGGAAAGAAGTGCCCTGCATTCCTATTTTGTGTCCCATTTCCTCCCCTGCCACCTCCACCCCACCCCGCCACGGCCTAAATGGGGGGTTGCCCTGCCATCCCGAACCCACAAGGTGGCACTGCCGAGTCACTGGCTGGGGTGCCCATCTAAGAAGCCGGAACAATCCGGAAGATACTAGTTAAAGGGGGAATGAAACAACAGCAGCAGAGTGTTGCATCTGGTGTGGAGACAGGCAAAAAGCACCAGCGCCTGAAACGTGGGCTGCTCGGTGCTTAACTAAAGAAGGTCAGATGCTACCACTTCTGCTCCCGGCACTTTCACCTGGTGCTCTTGCACCGGAGCTTTTCCATGCTGGATTTGGAGTACAGTGGTACCTCAGCTTAAGTACTTAATTCATTCTGGAGGTCCGTTCTTAACCTGAAACTGTTCTTAACCTGAAGCACCACTTTAGCTAATGGGGCCTCCTGCTGCCGCCGCACCGCCGGAGCACGATTTCTGTTCTCATCCTGAAGCAAAGTTCTTAACCCGAGGTACTGTTTCTGGGTTAGCAGAGTCTGTAACCTGAAGCGTCTGTAACCTGAAGCGTATGTAACCCACCCGAGGTACCACTGTATCTTCCCTTGGGGGGGGCAGGCAGAGGATTCTGAAGTAGGTGCGGGGGAAGCAAAAGCCCCCAAACGCATAACTGGCAGGTGCCGTCATACAATATGCACTGCGTACAGACTCTTTTAGATGTGAAAATGCCTCTGGTGAAGAACAACTCATGTATGGCAGGGCCTTGGAGGGGCAGAAAGCAGCTCCCAGGAAGTTGCAAACAAACCCGCACACTGCGCACGTAAAACCAACCCTGCCGGCCCCCCTCTGCTGCAGCTGCTGTGAGTGCCAACAGAAGCATCTACATCATAGAGGATAGATGTGGGCGAAGGGAACCGAACTCCATGACTGGAACGAGGACTTGATCCCCCCAGACACAGTATCCACCAAGCAGCTGCAAGTGGGCTGTGGGCAGCAGGAATGAGACCATCCATTGTGTGGAGGAGAAGGCGAGTGGGGGGGGGAGCCTTGCAATATATGGCAGATAGCTGAGCTAAAAGGGCTGCAGACAGAAGGGATCTCTTGGAGCTTTTATCTTGCTGGGAGGTGGGGGGGACGGACACTTGGGGAAACCCAGATGTTGCACCCCCCCCCTATGGTGACCTTTGGATCCATACCATCGTAAGCATACTGCCTTGTTTTGGCCACTTTAAGATCGCCTGTTCATTAGGGGCAATTGTTGCTGCCTTAAGTCCCAGTGGGATGAGACAGAATATACAACAGCTTAAGGTGTATTTTTCTTGGACTGACATATTTTGGCAAAAGGACGAGAGCTTCTGTGTTGCACGGAACATCTGGCGTTCTGATTGTATGCTCTGCACAGCTCTAGATTTTGCATCTTCCTATGCCTACAAAAGACAACATCTAATCTGTTTTGCATTTCTTCCAACTCTTCAGCAGATCACATGTTTAAGCCTGAGGTTAGAGGTTTTTAAAATAAAAAAAAAAAGTGTAATTCCACTGTCCACATTCTTCTGATCACATCTGCCTCTTCTCCTGAGGCTGTAAGCTCCTGGGGCAGGCTGGGCTTTGGCTTCTCATTTATGTCACTCTACAAAAAGCACCAGGTAACAATAGTAGTGACCACTACTGCACCTGCTTCACTTTTCTCTGTACACCTGTGACAGCTTCCTCTAGGAAACAACTCATATGTAAGATCACTGAATGGGCATGGTGAAAACTTCCAGAGGGTGGTAGCTGTATTAGTAGCCTCTTGCAACAAAAACAAAAGAGAGTCTTGAAAGACTAACACATTTATCATGGCACTCTTATCAAGGAAAGCGTATGTCATAACAAATGTGTTAGTGCCATAATAAATGTGTCAGTACATAGTTGCTTTGAGGGTGCACATAGGCAACCCATTACATCTTTTCAACCATAGTGAACAGTGCAAAATCACGAAGGTTAAAGGAAGGAGTTTTCTGCCCACTTTTGGGGGGGGGGGATTCTAATCCATACTCGTTATTGCAAGAACAGAACTTCTGTTCCATACTCATTATTGCAAGAATGGAGATTCCAGGTTTGGTTAGCCGTGTGAAAATCGAAGGTCATGCTCTTATTTTGCATGTTGCAAATGTGCACCGTTGCTAAAACTGAAAGGGTGGACAAAATCCGAAATGCAGAGGGTTCAGCAACTTACCTGAGCGCCCAGGTTGCCTGGACATGGGCAAGGAGACTTCGGTGAGAGGCAGAATGTAAACCTCTGGGCCATTCTGGGTAGCGGGTGAGCCCTGGGCTGAGAATTCACTAGCATACTCTTCTCCCTCGGCATTATCAAATTCCTGGGGTGGGGGATAGGGGTGGGCAAGACAGATAGGGAGAGAGAAAAAGGAGCCCAGCACAGGGCAAGGAAACATTTTTATACACATGTAGAAAAGGGAAGGGTGGAAGCATGCATTCCCCATCATTATACTCGTAATGCCAGTCACGTAAGGATTATTGCAATAATGCATGTGAAGCAATCATTACTCTTCTATAACATCTTCATCACTGTCATCATCGGTGCCATCTCAAACACAGATGAGGAGGCACAGATACATGTACTGAACCCATAAATAAGGGACGAGTTGAGGCTCTGTAGCAGAGCACCTGCTCTGCATGCCAAAGGTGCCAGGTTCAATCTCTGGCACTTCTAGGTAAGGAGGGGAAAGGCTGCCTGCCTGGAATTTTGGAAAGATGCAGCCAACTGGCATGAGATAATGGACCAATAGTCCAACATTATGTGAAGCAAAGCATACACAATTACAAGGCCCAGACTATATAAAAAAATCCACTGTATTATAATGGTGATCTATAAAACATAAACTGCACCAAGGAAGATACAGAAACACAAAACTAAATAATATAATTCAGAAGACAGCAGACAGGTAGATAAAAAGTCAATTCTGACTATTGAGAAAGCAGAATTGAAAAAGATTGAGCAGGCAAAATGGATTTTTCTCTACTGGCATGCTTTCCTCTGATTTGTATCATTTGGTTTTGTGTTTCTGTACCTTCGCTGATGTAGTTTACCTTACTCATAAGAATAATGAAATACAATTTTCATATTCTGGATCTTGCCATTGTTCATGTCTTGGATTCTAAGGATCTTTACTGCCATTATTCTTTATCCCAACCTGGTAGAAGGCAGCTTCCTAGTTCCAAAATACACCCAGGTGGTGGGTGGCAACTCCCTTGCGTTCTTCTGTACGCTTAAAAGGGAGCAAGCACACAGGTGGGGAGGAACAGGCACACACATTCCCCCATCCCATAAACAGCCAGGGGAGGAATACATGTATAAACATCCTTGAGCTACACACAATGGAAAAACAAAAGCACTAAGCACAGCCTTCTCATACATATGCCCAATTTGCACTAAAACCAATATTGGCTTTAACCATTTTAATTGTCAACCCAAGACAATGGGGAAATGCCCTTTGAAAAGTTTGCTTCGAATTCTCTGTTAGAGATTGCCTAATTCTTTTCCCGTCTCCTCCGCTACCCCCCACCCCCATCCCACAACAATTAATGGAGTTCCCTGGGGGAGGGAGTTACTGTTAGGAGTCTCTGTAGTGTCCATATGCAAGAGGAGAGTAAACACTGGCCAGTAACACAGACCTATAGAGCCCTCTCGCACACACGGGCCTGGCTCATCCCTATGGTATAACAGCTTGAAATGGGAGTTGCAGAATGCAGCTCTATGGAATAGCAAGCAAGCAAGCAAGCCAGCCAGCCACTTGTGTGAAGCAGACCTCCCTCCGCTCAGACAGGACAGCTTCAGCCATGCCCTGTTCTTGTAGAGGGGATAGCTGCATGGGGAAGCCGCTTCATGCAAACAGCCTTGCCATCTGGGACTGTGCAGGTGCAATTCAACTTCAAGCAGCCACATACACCGTTGAGCACACGCATGAACCATGCCACAGCCATGTGAAGGGCGCAGCTGCTCATACGCTCCCGTCCAGATCCAAACACTAAAACTTAGGGGGTGGGGTGACAGAGATAGCAGTGCACACACACACAAACACAAATTGAGAATTGGCGGTTTGCTAGCTCAAGCTTGGTTTCACGGATCCAGGGCAACAGCTCCTAGGACATTCAATGGCAGCCAATTTTCAATTCCCTTTGGAAACACAGACGCTCCATGAGCGGTGCAGCTGGCAAGAAAAGCTTTGATGAACAAGGACAGAAGCAGCAAAAACTGGCAAAGCATCATCTGCCCAGGATTCTCTGCAGACTCAAGAGATGGAGCTCAGTCCCATAGGCAAAGCGACAAAGGTTTAAGGCTGGCTTTCCCCACCTGGTGTCCATTTGTTGGCTTTTTGCTGGACTACAACTCCCAGCATCCCTGACCCTTGGCCATGCTGGCTGGGGCTGATGGGGGTTGGAAACCAACAGCATCTGGAGGGCACAAGGCTGGGCTAGGGGGCAGGTTAATGGCCGGCGCTACACCTTCCAGGCCTCTGCCCCCAGTCCTATTTCTGCATGGGAAAGCTAGGAAGCCCCAGGGGACCTGAATGCAGAGTAACGCAGCCCATTGCGCCCACCCCACCCTTGGATGGACGCTTGTTGTCCCATGCTGGTACCCCTGCTTTTGTTTCGGCTTGCGTGGCCAGTGGCGGCTGCTCTGCTCCTTCCACCCTGCCCCCAGTGAGAGAGACACAGTCATAAATACAGTTGAGGGAGAAGCAGCCTCACCTTGGTCAGGGGGCAGGGGGAGGGCTGCCCAGGGTTCCCCAGTTCTACATTACAGGCTGTTTTTGGCACTGTGCTGGCCCCCGTGCAGGGCAGACACCTCAAAACCATCCTCAGCCTCTTCTCCCGGGATTCGCTTCTCCAGCTCTAGGCAAGAGTGCCCAGAGAAAGAGTGTTAATAAATGCACCCTCCCTGAAGTGCCCTTCAACACCACCAACCCCGGCAATAGCACGCAAAGTTCAATGCGCCCACCTCCCCATCCACACATGCACACACACCCCGCCTGCAATTTGTGGCCGCAGCATCTCCCACCTCCCCATTCACTCCATGCAAAAGCCAAGTAGGCACTTCCAGTTACCTGGATGGACTTTATCCCTCCGAAGGCTGCCCCGGCAACCAGGTAGGAAAGGGTGAGCATCACCCTTGTGCCATGACGCCCTTGCGCTGCAGCAGCATTTCCACGGGGAAAGCATGGAGGCTGCTTTGCAAACCCTCCCTGCGCCCCCTATATAGGCAGCGTAGGGGCCTCTGAAGTGCCTCATTGTTCCCACGGCAAAACCTGGCCGGTGCTGCACAGCCGCCAGCCCACGGGACTGTCCATAGCTTCCATTCCAGCACCCCACGGCTGCACCGCGGCCTGGCTGCCAAGAGCCCCCGCAAGAATCTCAGCAACACATTTCTCCAGCACATTCTGTGCCTGTGAGGTCAGGCTGGCACTGCCCACTCCCTAGTGGGGCATTCCAGGGCCGGCCACCGCCAAGACTGGACAAGGATGCCAGCCAGCCTGGGAATTTAAGAAGGGACACCCTGCCACTACTCTAGCAAGAAGGGGATGTCATGCGTGGCTCACAAATTAAGACTCATGTATTTCCTTCAAGACAAGAGGCCAAAAAAAAAGAGATCCTTCCTCTTAGGACAGGGGTCAGCAAACTTACCGCACCTTGGGCCGGTGTCTCTAGCGCCGATCACGTGGCGGGCCAGAGGGCAGGGGAGTGTGTGCCCATACGCATGCGCACATGCTGTTTCTGGCACACTTCCAGGTTGGAGGAGCACCGGAAATAGCTTGTGTGCATGTGCACAGGCCTCCTCCAACCCAGATGTGCATCGGAAATAACACTTGCGCATGCGCACAAGCTATTTCCGGTGCTCCTCCGACCCGGAAGTGGGCAGCTGCACAGCACAGCGCCGGTAAGAGCGAGTGGTGGGGCTCGCCGCGGGCTGGATAAACGAGTCCCTCGGGCCTTATCCAGCCCGTGGACCTTAGTTTGGGGACCCCTGTCTTAGGCCATCTCAGTACCCTGAAATGCCTACTGCACCACTGAGCTCCCCGTTAGAAGTCGACAGAGCTTATGCTGTCAGGGAGAGGAAAGCGCCTTGGGAGTTTGCGCCCTTACCTGCAAAAGGTGTGCACGGAAGAGCGTGTTAAGGCAGATAGTTTGCACAAACACTTATCTCCTCATTAAAACTTGTTTGGTTGCTGCTGATGAAGAGCCATCGGACCTGAAACACGCTTTGATGTTGTTTCAAGGGCACCTATGGACTTTTGCTACTCTCTTTGTGTGCCTTTTCATATTTCGTGGCCTCTTCTTACCTGCTCCTCACAGCACGGCACCAGACTGTGCAAAGGAGGCTTCCAGAGAGAATGCCCTCCTCCCTACTGAGCTCAGCCCCACCAAAAATCCCCACTGCTTCTGCCCTTCCTGGAGGCTTTAAAGACAGCTCTGATTTACTAAATCGCCCCACTTGCAGGAGTGTTCCTTTGTTGCACGTACGAAAAAAGGCATTGGTGTACAAACCTGGTCTAAATTCTGACACAGTGCCTCAGGGAAACAGCAGCCATCACACTGAAGCCCGCTGCCTCTTGGCCCAACAGCCTCCAGTTATTTCACTGGAAGAGCACTTGCATTTCATGTGGAAGGTCCCAGGATCACTCTCTGGCCTCTCCATTTAAAAGGCTCAGGAAGCAGGTGTCAATGGCCCTCCTGAGACCCTGGTGAGCTGCTGGCACTCAGGCCTAGGCAGACAACAGTCTGAACGGAGTAAGGCAACTTCCTATGTTTTCACCTGCTCACCTGCCTCTTCTTCTGGATTGGTTAGGACTCAACAGGGTCTCCTTCAACCCCAACACCCCCACTTCCAACAGAATGCCAGACAACCCTTGCTGTGTTCTAAGGCTTGCTAGCTCAGTTGGTAGAGCGTGAGGTTCTCAACCTCAAGGTCACAGGTTCGAGCCCCACATTGGGCGAAAGATTCCTGCATTGCAGGGGGTTGGACTAGATGACCCTTGTGGTCCCTTCCAGCTCTATGATTCTCAGCAAGCCCCTGACACCAGGCTTAGTTGGAGGATGTTGCTGCTCACTAACCTTGCCCACCCCATTTCATCTTCAGCCCATACTGAATTCCTTGCTGATTCCTGTCACAGCTAAGACCCTTTACCTGCTGCCCTCTCTCTTTCACACACAAACACACTTCTCTCTCTGCCCCTGCTTTCTCTGAACAGCAAGAGTTTGTGAACAAGGGTGCGCCCCCAAAATCTGCTTCTTTCTCACACGAATCTTGCCTCCTTGCCACGGGTGTTCTAAGAAGGGCTACCCAGAGCGAGATTAGTTCTAGCCCAATGCTGAGCACCCGCCACCTCTCCTTGCAATCACAGACCCCAAGGAGACAGAGAACGACCTCCCTCCCTACCGCAAAGTCCAGTGCTGCTACACAGCTAGCCCTAGGGAGGACGTGGGCTTCCCACAGTGCTTACCTTGAAGCCAATGCCCCCCTTCTTGCAGCACAGACAGGCCAACATGAGGAAGATGAATGTGAACAGCCCAGAGAAGGAAACAGCCACAACCACCAGAGAGGAAGACCAGGAGAGCTCACTCAAGGGAGTGCCGTCTGTAGGGAGACAAATGGGACACAGAAGGGGGGAAAGATTAGAAAGGAAGTGCAGGGAAAGCCAAGGATGGAGATGCACTTTTTTTTCTTTTGAAGGGAAGCATTTAGTTGAAGACAGAAAAAGGACGTCCAGGAGCAGAATCCTGCAGGATGGCACTTGACTACAATTTCACATCCCCCCCCCCCTTTCTTACAGGCTCAAAGTTAACTCAGAGGTTCTGGGTTTAAGGAACCCTTTTGCTGTGACAGCATCAAAGCACGTTCGCCCCCTGCTCCAACCGATATACTTAAAAAACACTTTCTCAGACAAAAGGTTACTCTTCTTCCCAACTCCTGGAACAGAACGCAGAAAACACTCCCAAGCCCATTTTACTCTCCTTCTGCTCAGAGATCAGGTATGATACAGGAAAGGGAGGGAACCAGAGATGCTATTCGACCCGTGTGGACTACCTGGCCTGATCCTACATGGCCTACAGCCTGGAAAAGACGAGGAGAAGTGCAAGTCGGAGGCAACCGTGCCATGCAAGAGACAAAGGTACACAGCGCATTTCCCCTCTGCTTTTAACATGTAGAGTTTGTCCAGGTATGGGCAGCGATGGATGCTGCTGGGTTAACATAAAATAGGCCCCTACCTGTACTTCCCACAGCCCTGCTGATCTCCATCCATCTCCCTCACATACCTCAGATTTCTAATTTGTTAATGTATTTATTTATTTATTTTCTGAAAGGAACTCAAGGTGGTGTACATGGTTCTCCCTCTCAAGCAATCCCTGCGACAACCCTGTGAAGTAGGTGAGGCTGAGAGACAGTTATTGGCCCAAAGTCAAACAGTTAGTGGGGCGACTAGGGATTCGAACCCTAGTTCCTAGTCTGAAACTCCAGCCACTACACTGCTCGCTGTTGTTCACAGTTCACTGCTCTGTATGAAAGCAGTGTGGTGCCTGTCCTTCTCAGTTTGGACCCATGGCACCCTGCTGCACACACACAGTGTTTGGTGAAAAGCACAGTCATTTCCATTATGCTCAGGGAGAACCTATCGCCAGTTTCAGACAGTGTGGATATTCACAGAGGGACACTTGCCTAGAAAACATGAGTCCAAGCAGTTTTCCTCTTGCCCCACTTCTTTCTCAGGAAAAACCCTCTCTTTAGCTCTAAATCGGAACAAATAGCAACCTGCAGAAAACCCAAATAGCTGTTTGCTCCGAATGAGCACTAAAGAGTGGTTTTCCCTATGGAACAACAGAAAGTGTGCATAAGCCCTCAGTGTGTGGTTGGCAGACCATTGTCTGCTGGCAGCCAGCTACTTTGAAGAAGGCCCAACTTCTGGTGGTTCTGATCATCCAGTCTCTTAAAGTAAAAACTGGCTTGCCTCCCGAAACATAAAGGGATGCTGGAGACTGCACACATTTCAGAAGGGGAAAAATGAGCAAGAGGAAGAATGCTTGTTGTATCCTGAAGGCCAGTACGGCAGCACCTTTAAAATAATGAAGACAGCTGGTGTTCAGATGATTAAAGGAGAAATGAGACAATCAGAGCAATAAAAATTAATTTCACAGCAAAAAGGGGAAGTCAATAAACAAAAGAAATATTAAAGGCATCAAGATCACGGAGCCCAAGATGCTTTGTAATGCAAAAGAGCTAATTTGCCAATTTAAGCTAGCTAATACAGTCCCAGGGGGAGCATTTAACTGGTTGCTACAATGGTATGTTAAGAAGCACATACGCGTATGAGACAAAGCATGTACATAGGAGAGTGTATGGGAACACGTAAATGCTTGAAGATGAAAGAATAGGACAGGATATTGTGTGTGAGTGAGCGCACACAACTGTATGTAGGCACATTAAACAACAGATGCTGCACACACATGCATAGTCACAAACGCTCGCTCTCTGTTCTAATCCCACACATGCCGTGAAATGGAGCAAAATAACTTGTCATGACACCATCGCCATGGCAATAAGCATCCCTTGCCTGCCTCCTCACCCCAGCAGTGGGATTCCTGGCTTTCTGTAAGGATGCAGCCCTGCTTCTACCAGCTAAAAGAGAGGCCCATATCCTCCGGTTGACTCCTGTGTTTCCACGAGGCCCAAAACTGGCAAGAGTGTAATCCATCTGTCTGCTGGCATTTGCAATACCACAGAGCCCAGGCGTGGGGGTGGGATTGAACTGCTGTGCGATTTACCGTAGTAGTTCTAGGGCAGTTTGCGGGGGAAATGTTTGGATTTCCCGAGAACCAGAACAAGAGTTTTGAGGGAGCAATGCTGCAGAGAACTGAATTTACTTTGCAAATTGTCTAGGCACCAACAAAACATTTTTAGGTGCCTAGGCAACCAGGAGCCTGGGATTTTCTCAGCACTTGTTCCAGATGGACTTCCCACCTAGGATCTGGAATCACGTGTGGGGCTGGACGGCGTTCCTCATCCAGCTACGGAGAGAGGGAACCTGGCAAGGTGTTTCATCCCCTTATTTCCAAGCTGTGGTTCACTGGGGTAATTCAGTCTCCCTAAGAGATGCCTCTAATTTATCTCTCGCAGGAACAAAGCCCTGCTCTGAAGCCATGCAGCCGCTCTTTCAGGGGGAAGAGTCAGTACTAAATCAACAACGCGAAAGGCAAGCATGCTGGTGGTGGGTGGCGAGGAGTAATGAGCGCAGCCAGAAATGCCTGAAACAGCATATTGTGCTTCGCAGGGCTAGATTTCAGAAGGGTGCATCCTAGAAGCAATTTTAACGACACAAATAAGCAGGCAAGGATAACTAAGGCCATTTAGCCACTGCAGTGGCTGTTCTGATAGGCAGGACTGAGCACAGAATCCCATTCGCTAAATGGAATATAGTTCATAATTAGCCACTTTGCTCTAACCACTTGATCATGCCTCCTACCCTCAGAGCTAGAGCTATTCATTCAGAGGCCGTGCTGGGACTGTGCCATGTCAACAGCTGATGGGGGGGGGAGAGCTGCAAAAAAGAACCCAACAACCTCGCTGTGCTCTGAGGCAGTAATGCAAACACACCCTGAGACTGAGGAGGAGGGAGCTGGCAGGTATTGGCAGCTCCTGGACTGGTTCTAAGAAGTCAGGTAGGTGGGGGTTGGCTTAGAAAAGATGGGTGCAGTTCTTCATTTGCCCTGATGGACCACCATCCCCACACTGACCCCAGCCTTCTTCTTGATGTGCTCACTCGACACAATGGTTCTTCTGAGCCTGAAAGGGTGGGATTTAGAACACAGGAATCCCTGGTGGCTCCCAAACACCCTGGCAGCTTTTGCTTCTGAAATCCCCTCAACTGCAGCCCCTGGATTTTCTACTGACCTACAGCATCCGATCCATGTTCTCAATCCATGTCTTTCCTCCTGACTGTTTCCACCTGTGGCAGGTCTTTCTACATGTGCCACACTGTTAAGGCATCTCCTTGAGCTCTGTCCCCATTAAGCTTGGGTAGTGGGGAGGACCTGACCTCTTCCCTTCAGTACTTAGGGCAGGCACAGGCAAACTCGGCCCTCCAGATGTTTTTGGGACTACAACTCCCATCATCCCTGACCACTGGTCCTGTTAGCTAGGGAGGATGGGAGTTGTAGTCCCAAAACATCTGGAGGGCTGAGTTTGCCTGTGCCTGGCTTAGAGCCAAACTACAGATAAACAAACAATGAAGCTCCTGCATTATTTTTTAAAGCTGAAATCGGAACCAACAGCAATTTGCGGAAAAAACGATTGCTGTTTGTTGCAATTCAGCACTAAAGATTACCAGTTTCCCCAGGGAAGCAGTGGGGCAAACGGAGGTCTGGTTAAGTCCTCAGAGGCAATTTCAGGTTTTTGTTGTTGTTTAAAAAAACCACGCTAGACAAACATGGGAAGGAGGAGTGCTTGCCGAAGTGTCTCATTTAATTCAATGAAACCAGTACAGAAGAGGTTCCCAGTGAATTATTGTTGACTGTAAATTCTTCTCTTTCTTCCTGAGATGACAGCTAGAGATGGTTACAGATCCCCTGCTTGGATTTTTGATTATTATTTTTTTTTTAAAGATATTTGCCCTCTTGGTGAGGGGGGAAAGAGACATAAGCTACCCATATGTCACTTTAGAGAATGCAATTCAAATGAGGAGGGTGCCCTACATCCTCGTCTCAACAAAGTGTTAGAGTGAACAGGTGGGTGCAATAAAGATCAGAGGGTAGATTTTATGCCCTTCACTGCCTTCACTTTCCACGCGAACATAAACCAGTCACTTCTCCATTACTGCCCCTCTTGAACTCTGTCTCTTGAGGATCTCAAATGGGAGTTACTTTTTAGAATAGTTAGTGGAATAATAAGCATAGCAATAATAACAATAATAATAATAGGTCACAATGTAACAAGAAGTAGATG